CACTCTTTTAACCAAACGTGATCTGAATGTATGTAGACAGCTGATGAGATAGTTGAATTCAACACATCCTGTGATCATGATGCTTCTTCTTGCTCTCATGAAATTGTTAAAGGGAACTGGTTGCATGAGATTCTATGTCTTNTTAAAGGTCTTGGCTGGTGGGATTGAGGGTAAGTCACTGATGAAAGTTGAAAATAAGGAGGGAGAGAGCACAGCACCCTGAAGGACCCCAGAATTATTCACTAACGGTTTTAAATAGTACCGTTTGTTTTCTTTCTTTGAATCCTTTCTGTGAAATAATCTTTTAACCATGATAATAAGTTGGCGGGACAACCGAATAACTGCAAATTTTACGGAAGAAGAGATCGTGGAACGGAATCAAGAGCGGAAGAATGGTCCATGAAAACACAACGAACAGACTTTTGGGAATCATTTAAAGATTGGCGGATAAAGTGAATCACTGAAGAGATTGCATCTAAAGTGTATCTATTTGGCTTGTACGCAAACTGGAGGAGGTCATTGGGAACAATAAAACTAGAATGCAAGCGGGTGAAAATAGCGCGCTCTGCAAGTTTATGTCCAGAGGAAATGATGGCGATGGGACGAAAATGCTAGAGGAAGAGGGTTTAGGAATGGGAACAATGATGAAACGGTCTCCAGAAGTGAATAAAAACCGTTCTAAGTATATTTAACTTACGGAAGAAGAGATCAGGAAAGAAATGTACACTTGTGATCAATTCGTATCATTCGCGTTGGATCATTATATTTTTTATTAGAAAACCCGACATAAATGTCCCTCGAACATGTACAAATGCAACGCAAACTGAACAATGGGTTTAAGGATAAATTTTACTCGATCAATTCCGGACAACTCTGCCCGGCTATTAATCCATATGAATATTGTTGCGCTTTTGTCAGATCCCAGGGTAGTCGAATATAGAAAGTAGACCGCTGTCGGAATGGCGGAACAGTGCTGCTGATGTACGAATGCAAGACCAACATGCTTAGCTGGATCTGAATCCCGCCTCAAATGTTTTTGGTATTTCCATAATTTATACGTTGAAAGTCCTTCCCAATCATTTTACTTTGAACAAGGGACAATATTTATGATTTATGAGAAAGGAGACTGAATTCAATCAAAGGCTACTACCAGCGGACCGAACTAGAATAAATTTACCAGAACAGGAGTAATTACTATAGATAACAATAAAGTTTCTTTGTAAATGTTTCGCAGTCACATTGGTGAGAAACATTTAAAATTATCTATCTGCAAGAGAATTTGTATACACATGTCAAATAAGTATATGTCAATGAATGACTGCTCAATTACTTGCACATTTTGAGTCACACAGATGTTTTGAATGAAAGCAATCGTAAATTAGACTACTCCAAACGGACTAACTGTTTTATGGTGGCAATTTCGGAGGGAGAGTGAAATAATCAAAACGATAAAATAAATGTTGCCGGTAACGACTATCGGTGGGTTATAGAACCGAGGACGGAAACGGGAGTGGTGAATAACTAGGTGGGGCTGAACTAATATCAAAATTCCCACCTGCTGGGGCACCGCACACTGTCTACCATTTGAATTTAGAGATTAATGTTCAGTTTCTCTGGACTAAATGTGGCTCTTGCCAATCGCGAGTCCAGTTTGTTGTGTTGTGGGCAAATGTCCTGTGCTTCCAACACTGTGTATTCGATTGTCCAATGGCTTCCTTCTTGACCAAAATACTTTCCAATTGTGGAGGTTTTCCCAAACCGGTACCGTGAAACAAGAAGGAAAAGCTGTCTTCTCGCCTGTTTGGTGAGAGATCTTCATTACAAGCGTTCCGTTAGTCCGTATGCACCACGCACGTTTTTACATAAGGCAACCCTTTACGTTATATGTTCCCTGTTTTAGATATCGATCTCCGGGAATGTATAAGCCCAACAGAAATCTAGTGCCTCTTTGACGCTTATGCAGTTGACTATCTCGTCAGGTAACTCGTTCCACATGTCTGACCCTGTGTGAGAAGAAGTTAGCCCGAATCTCTAGTCGAGCATGGTTCCTTCGCAGCTTGAAGATGTGGTCCCTCATGCAGTGGTTAGGGGTTTGCAGGATTTGGGTAGACAATTCGATATTCCAGCTGCCATTAAGCGGAGAACGG